CATTCACTCCTTGCCCATTTGGATTACTACACCTTCTTGAGCACCTAAGAGACAACAGTCCAGATTTAGACAGTCTTCCCTCAGTATCTGTGGGGAACTGGGGAACTGGTGCCAGAACCTCCCTCGGATGCCAACATTTGCTCAAGGTCTAAAACAGTATACATTTGCATATAACCTATGTATATCCTCCCGTATACATCAAATCGTCTCTAGATTACTTACAATACCTAATAAATGGAAATGCTACATACATTGTTGTTACGCTGTTATTGTTTAGGGAATGAGACAAAATCTGTACATGTTCAGTACAAATGCTTTTCCCCCCTCTCATAATATGTTTGATCTGCAGTTGGCTGAATCCATGGACACAGAACCCAGATGTGGAAGGCTGACTGTACATAAAATTAGGACACAAAATAGCACGTGAAAGAAAAGAGATTATTATCTCAAGCTAGGCAAAGCTTCAATTTCCAGAAGGCCAAGAACAATATGAAAACAATGCCTCGGAATAAGCCAGGACTGCTGATAGCAAGTGGTTCAGCAAAGGACCCTGTGAGAAAGGTTTCAAGAGCAGGATAATTCTGGGGTTGTTTCTCCTTTCAGTTTTTCCATTCCTATACTTGGCCCTATAATGCAAACATGGTTTAACAAATATAACAATAATTGTATCATAAAATAGATGGCTTCCTCTGCTCAAGATCTTGGCTCTTTTTTTGTAAAGTGACAAACTAGGATTCTAAGTTTCACCAGTGCTGTATATCAGGACCTCATCGAGGATTCCCCACGTGCTCCAGGGGGACAGAGGAGAGGGTACTGCCCAGGGAAGTGTCATATCAGGTTTAGTCACATGATATCTAGCAGAAGCAATGAATCAAAAGCCAAGACAAGTACCTCCAGAGGAGTCTTATTGTTCCAAATTTCTTCTCCCAGTCCTGCTTCTCCTATCCCAGAGTTCCCTATTTCTGCTCTCTGCACCACCATCACCCATATCTCTTGGGCACAAAACTCATCACTGAGTCCCCAGTCTCCCTTCCCCATACCGAGCCACCTGCAAATTTCCTCCAATCAATTCCCTGCTCTCTGTGCCCTGCGCCTGGTGTTATTTCCTGCCTAGACTCTGAATGAGGATTCCTCACTGATCTGCCACTTCCAGCATCACCCCACTATGCGGGGCTGCATCGCTGCCCCCAGCGCGTCTCTGAGCACTAAGTCCAGACTTCTTCAGCCTGGCCTCACCACACCCCTCCTGCTCTCATGATTCCCAAAATGGAATTATTTTCTCTTCCCCCTACATGCTCTACGATTACCTGGCTCTCTGTGCGTTTTTCTCTATTCTTTCAGCCTTTGATAAGGATGAGTAACATTCTTATCCCTCACATGCCCTCTCATCCTTCAAGGGTTCAAAAAATGCCTGCTCCATGAATCCTGATCTGCTTCCCACCGCCAGGACACCTATGGCAACCTCCCACACTGCCTCACAGCATACCTCACATCCCCACCCAGGGTTATGACTGCAGGGTCCTGCACCACGTGATGACACTTCAGCCAAGGATGGACTGCATATACAACCACAGCAGTCACAGGCCCGTGGGATTATGATGGAGCTGACAACCTCCTGTGGCCTGGTGATGCTGTGGGGCAGTGCACTGCTCAAATGTCTGTGCTGATGCTGCTGCAAACAAACCCAGTGCCCTGCCAGTCATGTGAGGCACAGCAGTTACACACAGCACATCCAGCCTCCCTGAGGATGATTGTAAGCAGCTATGTTACTGGGTTCTGTATTTACTATACTACACTTTTTATCACAGTTTTAGAATATACTCCTATTTACGAGAACTCAACTATAAAACTGCCATAGGCAGGCCTTTTAGGAGGTACTGCAGAAGAAGGCTGTTGGAATAGGAGATGACGGCTCCGTGTGTGCTACTGCCCCTGATGACCTTCTGGTGGGACAAGATGTGGAGGTGGGAGACAGTGACATTGAAATCCTAACCCTGAGTAGGCCTACAGTAATGGCTGTGTATGTCTTAGTTTATAACACAAAGGTTAAAAAGTAAGAGGAATAAGCAAAACATTTTGAAGGTAGAAAAAAGCTTACAGACTAAGCATATAAATATTTTGCACAACTGTACAGTATGTGTTTTAAGCTAAGTGTTATTTTATTACACAAGAGTTAAAAAGCTAAGAAAAATTTAAAAGTTTATGAAGTAAAAAAATTGTAGTACAATAAAGTTAATTTATTATTGAAGAAAAGAAAAATTTTTAAATAAATGTTGTGTAGCCTCAGCACAGTGTTTACACAGCAGTGTACAGCAATGCCCTGGGCCTCACATTCACTCACCATTCATCCTCAGACTCACCCAGAGCAGTTTCCAGAACTGCAGGCTCCATTCATGGTTAGGAGTCCTACACATAGCTACCATTTTTAAAAATCTTTTATAAGGTATTTTTACTGTACATTTTCTAATGTTTGGATACATTCAGATAAACCAACACCACTGTGTCACAACTGCCAGCAGTGTCCAGTCCAGCCACATGCTGCACAGGTTTGCAGTCCAGGACAGCAGGCTCCACAGCACAGCCCATGTGTGCAGCAGGCTACACCGTCCGCGTGAGCACACGCCACGATGTGTGCACAGTGACATCGCCAACGCTGGACTTCTGAGAACTTATCCCCATTGTTAAGCAACACATGAGTGCATAAGTATCTTTCCTACCCTTCCTGGAATGTCACTGAAACAGAATCTTCATCTAATTACTTTGTCTAACCCAATGAGAACTTTTAATAAGTTAAATAAAACTAGTGTAGGACTTCTACATCACAAACCAACTGTGTTCGTGTGTGACCATCTCCTTGTCTCCTTCAACCTCTATCTCTTCTCCCTTCCTTGTACCAGATTTGCCACTTGAATCCTTTCCAGAATCTGAGCGAAGCTGCTCTGGCTTTACTCCAAGGTCTTCAATGGCAGCTGACACTTTCACAGACTGCCAGGCAATGTGCAAATAAATGGCTCTCAAACCAATATAAATGTCTGACTCCAACTTCTCCTTTGAGTCTTAGACCTACTATTTTTTAACCACCTGACCAATTCTGAATGAGATCTGGTCTGCCGAACTTTGTTAGCTCCAGCCAGCCTTCCAACCTCCAGTCTCATTATGATAATGACAAACTCACCTAACCCTGGCTACATAACTGCATTTGCTCCTAAAATATTGTTTCCTTTACACTTAAAATTAGCTCAGTTTTAAAGCCACTATCTGATCTTTTCTCTAAAGGATATTTAGTGTCCTTAATGAGGTATAGCTTATTAACTCAGCTAACTCTGCTGTTTACATACCTTAAGAGCCTTAGCTTTCTATTCTTATCAGAATTTTATTTCCTCACTGATAATATTCCATGATAAATTCAACCCAGCAAGGTTATGAAGATTAGAAATAGTGCAGTGTCCAGCATACAATATCTCCACAAATGTTAGCCACTGCTGTCACTATCAACAAAGACACACATGAGCTCTGCTGGCATGCTGCTTCTGAATGGGCTGGTTGGGACACCCCTGACCCCCAGCCTGCCCCTTTTTGAGCTCCCTCCAGCCTATTCCTCCACAGACCACAAGGCCAACACTAGCCTATCTACACCATCTACTGAGCAAGGCATGCTGCTAAGGCACGTGCTTTACATAAGTCATTTCATTCAGTCCTCACAACTGTTAGTTATTTCTAATTTAAAGATGAAGAAAACAGAGGTTTAGAAAAGTTAAAAATTTGCTCACAACTAGAGAGCCAAAAAGTAGCAGAACTAGGGCAGCTACAAGCCTATGTTCTTATTTTTAAAGATTGACTACTTTCTATTTATTTAGTTGACAGATAAAGTTATACTTATTAGGTACAACATGGTGTTTTAGAGTAAACACTGTGGAGTGGTTATACCTAGCTAATTAGCATATGTACAATGTACACACTCCTTTTTTCCTGACCAGTAAACCAAACGATTTTTTTTTCCTGAGACACAGCCTCACTTTGTCACCCTGGCCAGAGTGCAGTGGCATCATCATAGCTCATAGCTCACAGCAACCTCAAACTCCTAGGTTTAAGCAATCCTCCTGCCTCAGCCTCCTGAGTAGCTGGGACTAGAGGCTATCTGCCATAATGCCTGACTAATTTTTCTATTTTTAGTAGAGATGGGGTCTCGCTCTTTTCAGGCTGGTCTTAAACTCCGGACCTCAAGCAATCTTCCCACCTTGGTCTCCTACAGTGCTAGGATTATACGTGTGAACCACCACTCCCACCTGCTATAGAATTTTTTATTTCTACTGTGTTGTGACCCCTAAGGCCCTAGTCTCGGTCACTGCACGAAAGAACCAGGCGTGACACGGATTAGAAGTACAAGCTTGCGGGAGGTGGGCTAACCTTAAGTGCAAGGTAGCCCTGAACCCCCTCCTCAATGGCTATTTATTAAGGTTATACACAACAGGTGTGGAGAGTTAAGGTCATTACATACGAGGGCTGGACGCTTAAGGACCACCATGTGCTCTTTCCTCACAAGTTCCTTCCCCACAACCTCCATGAAGAAGTAAGTACTAAACATCAGTGTTTAACACATGCTTACTAGTGAGTGACCGATCTTATCTCATTCCAGAACACTGAGTTACTTGAGGGGGACTGCCCCTAAGTCACAAAATGTCTCTAGGCTTGCCAGGAGACTGTCCTGTTTTCAGCATTTCCTTTTGATGTGATAAGAATCAGTAACTGTGCTTTGCAAGCATGGTGTCCATTCCTCTACACTGCTGGGTTGAATGCCATTTCAAGAAAATCAATTCTATAAACATCTACTGCACAAGCCTCTATTAATCACTAGTTTGAATTATCTACAGCTCCACTAATGGGTGTACTTAACTCAGATTCTCACAAAGGAGCTTAATAGCTACCAACTATCCAGAAATAGAAACAGAACAAAATTAATCAACAAAACGAGCAATTAGTGATAAATAACAGTAACTTACCTACTTCAGTGAGTTGGTGTCTTTCTATTGTTAATTTCTTCGGATCCTTAGTAAAATGGAAGGGCTGTATTTTTATTCCTTCGATTTGAGGGAATAATAGAGCAAAACCAGATTCTCCAATTTCTATTTCCTGAGGTCGATTGCTACCTGATCCCATTGGAGTCACTAGAAAAAAGTTCAACAGTTTCATGAACAGTTTCAACAAGAAGTGAAGTTCAATTTGGTAAAGTATAGATTAGCCAGTCTCACCCAGATCACTACATTCAGGTCAGGAATATAACCATCAAGCTAATGGGCCACTGTCTGAGGAAGTTCTTCAGCTTTGACAATTTTAGGGTGTAGTGTCATAATGTCTGCAACTTAACTTTCAAATGGCTGAGAAAGAAATGGCCTTATAAACAAACTGAGAAAAAGCAAATGCTGCAAAATCTTTTCAACTGGTGACTCCAGATGAAAAACATATGTGTATTGACCATACTATTCTATTATTCTTTCAAGATTTCTGTAGGTTTGATGTTTTTCAAAATTAAAAAGTTGGGGAGTAGTACATAAATGTTTACAGCAATTTCACTTTTTAAAATTTACCCTAAAAATATTTGACAATTATATGAGGTGTGTGTGTATGTATACATACACACACAAAGTATTTTTATCACCAAATTTTTAGTAAGAAATAAAGGAAAAAAACATAAATGTACTAACTGGCATTTAGATTGAAAGTGACATTTGTGTAATAGAATACAGCCATTAAAATGATGACAAATGTATACATTTATTGACAGGAAGATATGTCTGTAATATGCTGTGAATTTTAAGGCAGGAGCTATAGACTAAATTGTGTCCGCACACCCCCAATTCATATGTCGAAGCCCTAATCTCTCATATGACTGCATTTGGTGATAAGGCCTTTTATAAAAGAGATGGTTATCATTAAATGAAGTCACAGGGATGGGGTCCTAATCCCACAGGACTAGGGTCCTTCTAAGAAGAGAAGATCTGCCAGGCATGCTATGTATAAAGAAAAAGCCTTGGGACACACAATGAGGATGCCCTGCTGACAAGCTTCACGGAACCATGCTGGTCTTGGACTTCCATGCTCCAAAACTGTGAGAAAATATCTGTTGTTTAAACCATCCAACGTGTGGTATTTTGTTATGTAGCCCTAGTAAGACTACTAAAGTAGGTTACAAGACTATAAAAAATAATATTCTGGTATATAAATATATAAAATATATGTTAACATATCGTTAATAGAGTGGTCAACTCTGCAGTGCTTAAATTTTTCTTTTTGCTTACCTATATTTAATTTTTCTTTTTCTTTTCTAATAATAAATGATTATAACTGGGCTAAAAATAAAATCTTTTTGAGAAAAGCAGTAAGCTTTTTAGAAATCAAAGCTAGGGCAAAATGAAAGAATAATATTCATTTATAAACACCTGAAATCCTTTGTACCTCACTGCACAAGACTCTTAAATTCAGATCAAAGTCTTTCAGTAAGATTAAAAATGCTAATCATAGAGTACTATGAGTTGGAACAAACAAAATAATTAACAGCCAACATTTAACTTCTTGCTTTCTATACATTGCTATTCTAAATGGTTTACATGTGTTAATTCACTTAAGCCTCACAATCCTCCAAAGAAAACACTGTCATCACCCCTATTTCAGTGATGGGGAAATGAAAGCCCCAGAACTCAGATAACTTGCTCAAAGTCATACAAGCACTAAGTGATACAGATGGGATTCCTATTGAGGTATATTAATCATTAATATGATGGTACCACTGTACCATCACAGCTTCAACAGAATCTCTCCTCCCATTTCCTATAGAAAACAATCAAAAATAGTAAAAATAAGGTTGGCTCATGCCTATAATCCTAGCACTCTGGGAGGCTGAGGTGACTAGACTGCCAGAGCTCATGGGTTCAAGACCAACCTGAGCAAGAGCCAACACCCCATCTCTAAAAATAGCCAGGTGGTGTGGCAGGCACCTGTAGTCCCAACTACTTGGGTGGCTGAGGTAAGATAATCACTTCAGCCCAAGAGTTTGAGGTTGCTGTGAGCTATGACACCATGCCACTCTACTGAGGGTGACACAGTAAGACTCTGTCTCAAAAAAAAAAAAAATTAAATAAAAATAAACAAAAATTCACAAACAGCAAGCAAACACAGCAAAGAACACAACCTCATGCTATAAATGTCAAACAGTAGCAGCCACCCAGAGAAATACAAGTTTCCTAATGAGGCCCATTTTAACTCCTAATCCCAGTCCCACTTCACCCCTCCCCACCAGAAACAGGATTAGGGGAACTGACAAAACTCTGAAAATGCTCATGAATCCGTTCTAATTTGGATAGCGGCAGAATGAGATCTTTTCCCTCTTATGAGTGGCTACTAAGTATTTGTTACATTTGGATTACAAAGGTAGCCTTGTGACTTGAAATACTAACCACAGTAACTTAAACATTAATATACAAGTTAAATATAATACTGTGGTAAATGTAACTTTTGTGTATTTTTGATGGCCACTAATATAAATATGCTTTTAAGCTACAAATAATTCAGCAATCTACAGGATCCCACATTAATGTAAGGAAGAAATTATGAAGCTGCTAGTTTCTCTCACCTACAATTCCTGGGGTCACAATCCCAAGGATCTGGCATTGTTTCGGGAACAGCTTTTCAAGGGCAAATGCTGTTTCCATACTAGTTCTTTTCCTTGCTGCAAAAATACAGTAGTAAATTTATTAAATACCATCCATTTAAAGTCAAATATGACAATATAAAAAAGTCATCTGATACCAGAATGCTTTACAACAAGTCTAAAAGCTTTGATTAGAACCAACGTTTTCTTCTGGCCTCTGCTTGGTATTTTAAATTCTAAATCTAAACTTTAGCCTCACTTTGTTCATATACTACTTTTGCCCCAACACCACCAAATTTAGCAGCAACAGCCTAATGTTAGACTTGCTATTACCCTTCTGTTCAGTTGAAAGACAGCATAACAGCTACCTGACTGCATAAACAGTCAACTAGATTCAAGTTAGATTAGGAGAATCCATTATGTAAGTCTAACCCAGAACTCAGCATGCCCATCTTGGATACTCAATCTGCTTTTCTCTTAGCAAGCCAAGAATGCACAATCTCTGCAGGTAACTTTGGTAAATGAGACCCCATGTTCAAATATAGTAAACAGCTTATGTAAAGAAAATCACATCCTGTTTTAATAATAAAAAGAAAGAAGTTCTTGGAAGATGAAATGAGAAAAATGCCTTTCTAAAGAATTTGTTTCAACTGTACACAAGGTTTAAAAATTAATCTGGGCTCGGCACCTGTGGCTCAAGTGGCTAAGGCGCCAGCCACATACACCTAAGGTGGCGGGCTCGAATCCCCAGCCAGGGCCCGCCAAACAACAATGATGGCTGCAACCAAAAAATGGCTGGGCGTTGTGGTGGGCGCCTGTAGTCCCAGCTGCTTGGGAGGCTGAGGCAGGAGACTCACTTGAGCCCAGCAGTTGGAGGTTGCTGTGAGCGTGATGCCATGGCACTCTACCCAGGGGGATAGCTTGAGGCTCCGTCTCAAAAAAAAATAATCAATCTGAAGCCAAAAGGGCTTGTCAAGCAAAGTTCAATGACAGATATGAAGTCTAACAATTAAGGTCACGAACTTGCCACTGTGCACTTATGCTGGCAGCACTGTGCAAACAACTTGGTAAGGTTTCATAACCTTGGTATATCAAGTGTCTCACTGCTGTGTTTGTGTCAGCACACTATGGTGTCTTGCTGAGTGGTGATCATTATTATTGTTGCATGTTTTGGTGTGCCATTCTGAGAATGTCAAAACTTGAATTGGAACAACCAACAAACATTCATAAATTTCTTGTTAAACTTGACAAGGATGGAAGTGAAATGAGGGACATGTTAATCCAAGTTTACAGGGATAAGGTCATGAAGAAAACAGCAGCATACAAATGGATTAAACGTTTTTCTGACGGAGAAAAAGCATTACTGATGAAGAGGTCAGGGTGGCCAGTAACAATACTGCACAAATTTGTCATCTTTTGCGTCAAAATCGCTGGCTAAGTATACACCGATAGACAAACAGGAAAACTTTAACTGAAAATCTTGACCAACAACTCATGGCTCTTGCATCACAAAAATGCACCAGCACACATGGCCCTGTCTATGAAGGCGGTTTTACCAAGTAAAGAATAACTGTATTGGAACACCCTCCCTACTCACCTAATCTGTCCTCCAAAGACTTTTTTCTCTGCCCAAAGATAAAGACATTAGGTGAGTAGGGAGGGTGTCTTCCTTTCATTTTGATGATATTCAATCCATCAAGGGTAATATGACAATATCCTTCTACAGCCATTCCATAAAGACTTCCAAAATTGCTTTGAAGGGTGGACTAGGTAGTAAGGGTGGTGCATAGCTTCCCAAGGTGAGTACTTTGAAGGTGACTATAAGGTGAATATTTAGCAATGGGGTATGTAGCACTTTTTCTAGGATGAGTTCGCGAACTTAATTAGACCTCATATATCCACACACATTACAGGCTGCTGTCCAGAGCCCTCAAAAGTCAGTAACTCTCAGGACTAGTACAATATTGAACTCCAAGCAAAAAGTACATAAGGAAACAAGAAAAACAAACTTTTTCTTTTGTTATTTACCTCTCTTGTGGCCACGACACTCTTCCAGATTAATGAAAGTTTCTGAATCAGCCATGTAGAGAACTGTATGTGGTAATATGCGAACATTCTGGAAAGAAAAAAATTGGAATTTGACCCCATGAATCCATAAGTGCTCATGTGGTCCCTCAAAGTATCTCCACTGTCCAAACTGCTGTTGCCCTATCTTCCTTCAGGCCAATGCTGACATTCTGAGTCCATCTACTTCTCACTCATGTGTTCACTTTCAGCTCACTAACTAAGCACCTATTATTTCTTCATGTACAACTCATTCCAGTTCTCAGAAAGTTCATTTTCATAATGATAATTTAAGCTCTTAGAATAAAAACATCAAGTACCAGCAAAAGATGCCGCTTGCTTTATGTGGACATCACAGTAACATAAACATCTCAGCAACAAGAAGGCAGACAGGCTGTATCACTCCTCTTTTCACTGCCTGTCAAATCAAATAATCCAGGCCTACATTTCCAGGCTCATCAACTAGCTGCTTCTAGGGGCCCTTAGCTTACAATTATCTAGTCATCTACTTTCACATATGTTCTCCTGCAGCTTTCTTCCTATAGAACTTGATTTAAGATTGTGAAAAAAAAAAAAAAAAAAAGAAATTAGTGAGGCATAGTAGTGCACATCTATAGTCCCAGAGAGGCTGAGGTAGGAGGATCATTTGAGCCCAGAAGTTTGAGGTTGCTGTGAGCTATGATGATGTCACTGCATGCTAGCCCAGGGAATGGAATAAGACCCTGTTGCTTTAAAAAAAAAAAAAAAAAAAAAACAGCCAGGTGTGTGGTGGCTCCCACCTGCAATCCTAGCTATGTGGGAAGCCTAGGTGGACTCAGGAGTTTGAGACCAATCTCAGCAAGAGACCATCTCTACCAAAAACAGAAAAAATCAGCTGGACTGGGTGGCGCCTGTGGCTCAAAGGAGTAGGGCACTGGCCCCATATACCAGAGGTGGCAGGTTCAAACCCAGCCCCCAGCCAAAAACTGCAAAAAAAAAAAAAAAAATTAGCTGGGCTTATTCAGACTCATCTGTTTTCCACTAAACCTTCCAGTTATAGACAAGTGAACGACATGAAAAGGATGAAGATATTCTGTCTAAGCTGGTGACTACTTCCAAGATTTTTACTAGCACAATGGAATGAAGTCCTTGGCATATAGCAGGGGTCCTCAAACTTTTTAAACAGGGGGCCAGTTCACTGTCCCTCAGACTGTTGGAGGGCCGGACTACGGACCCCAGGACGAGCTGGCTGCTAAGCTGGACAGGCAGAGGTGGCAAAAACACCTGGAGGGCTTGATAAATGTCCTAGGCAGGCTGCATGTGGCCTGCAGGCCATAGTTTGAGGATGCCTAGCATATAGCAAGTACTTGTTGATAAGATGAAAAATGTTGATCCATTATAATTTGGGAGAATATTGAGATGTTTCAGAATAGATTCCATATAAACTCACAAAAGATACTGAGATGGGATGATGACCTGAGGCCTCAGGGCTGGATAAGACCTATGGATGTAGTGTCTGTGGTCCACACAGCATTTTCAAAAACTGTAAACTGGTTGCCAATATTCAAAATGCCACAAACTTTTCTTATTTTTTTTTTTTCATTAAATCATAGCTGTGTACATTAATGCAACCATGGGGTACAATGTGCTGTTTTTATATACAATTTGAAATATTTTCATCAAACTAGTTAACATAGCCTTCACAGCATTTTCTTAGTTATTGTGTTAAGACATTTATATTCTACATTTAGTAAATTTCACATGTACCCTTGTAAGATGCACTGTAGGTGTGGTCCCACCAATTACCCTCCCTCCACCCATCCTCTCCCCTCCCCTCCTCTCCCTCTCCCCATATTCTTGGGCTATAATTGGGTTATAGCTTTCATATGAAAGCTATAAATTGGTTTCATAGTAGGGCTGAGAACATTGGATACTTCTTCTTCCATTCTTGAGATACTTTGCTAAGAAGAATATGTTGCAGCTCCATCTATGAACTTTTCTTTTTTTTTGAGTCTTACTCTGTTGCCCAGGCTATAGTGCTGTGGCCTCAGGCTAGCTCACAGCAACCGCAAACTCTTGGATTCGGGTTCAGCTTCAGCCTCCTGAGTATCTGGGCATATGGGCACTCACCCCAACAATCAGCTAATAAAATGCCACAAGATTTTTACATGAAAAGTGAGCTTCCAGATTCTTTTGAAAATCTAGACATTCTGATAACACTCAAAGAGTATATGGCTCTTGACTGGGGCTAAACAGATGCAAGCCTTCTCTAGTCGGCCATGGTCCTACCAGGCCACCCAGCCATGTGACCCTCTTCAGCTATCTGTCTGACCTTTTGAGTATTCTGGTCTGTGATGCCTGGTGCAAAGAGTAGACAGAATTCAAGAGATTTAGCTCTTGGTATTAATTCTGCCACAAACTAGTAGAATAACTGTCACAGTGTTTTTTGCCCTCAAGCTTCCTATTCTTAAATATTAGAAGTCTGGTCCTGAGGTTTTATGAGTCTCTCTTTTCTGGCACCCACTGGGAAGCAATTGCTGAATTCTCCTTCCTAATTCAGAAGCAATGACAGTGACAAGCCTCAACATGAAATGTTCTGAAAGCACAATTAAGGCAAATAGGAACACATCCCATTATTCAAAGAAGTTACAAATGGCAAGTGATTTTATAAAACTTTTAATGGACTTTACAATATTTCTAATAAAAAGTTAAATCAGCTTTTTTTTTTATGGCTATGGAAGTACCGTGTCTACTAGATAATTTGGAAAACACATACAGTGTGTATGGTTTGGACAGGATTTCCATGCTTTTGTCTCACCAGGAGTTTATCATAATGTATATATTTCTTTAGGAGTACTACCACATGAATTTTAATAACAATATTGAGAGTATTTAATTATATCTATTGAAAACTTATATTCCAGCTACTGTAGGTAATGCGTTATATTCATAACCTTTTCATTATTTAGTTCTTAAAATAGTTCTATATGGTGTGGAGAAAGGACCTGAGGCTCAGAGAGGTTAAGTAACTTTTTCAAATTCACACTGCTAGTATGTGCCAAAGCTGGAGCTCACATCTAAGTTTATCTGGCCATAACATCACTATAATGTAAAACTTTTAAAGCTATATAAAAAAAATGCCTGCTGTGGTAAAAATTTGAAAACCACCACTACACAGAAGAAATCTTAAAAAGCATTAAAAAAACAAGTTTCCCACAAGGAAACTTACTAACATTTGGGCTTATTTCTTTTCTTCTCTTCCTTTTTTGCTTTTAATAATTCATATTACACTAACCTTATAATTTCATAATCTGCATTTTTCACTTTTAACATCACTATTTTCTCTTGTCATTAATGCAAGTTTATCATGTAATGATTTCATTTAGTAGATTAACAGTAGGTTGTTTTTAATTTTCCTTATGATTAATGATGCTCCAAAGAACAATTTTGTGGAAAAGTCTTTGCTTGAATTTTGAATTTTTTCAAATGACAAATTTTTGGAAATAGCAGGATTTGGGCCAAAGTGCCAGAGAAGAAAGTCCTCTAACAAGCCTGCCTTTAGATACTGACCAACTCCTTAGCATGTGAGTGCCAGAATCCAAATACGGCAAGGAGAAAATCTACACAAGAAAGGGGGAAACAGAAGATTGGTTACATATAAGGCAAAACCTAAAAACACTAAGAATGATGAGAGGCAGGTTTCTCACTGTCCAAGGGAGGTATAAATAAAAGCAAAGAGCAAGTTAAAGCCACTTGCAATTCTGAACAAAATCCTTTTACTGTGAAGAACATTACTGGGCCAACTGGCAAAATCAGAATGAGGAGGAGATGGTAGGAATCGATCAGTGATAACTTCCAGATTTTGATGGCTGTAGTCATGTTTGTAAGGCATACTTAAGTGTGACAGAACATCATGTTGGCACTTTGCTCTCAAAATTCTCCCTCCCACTCCCCCCGGGAGAAGCCACAGCCTGCTGCTCATTTGACTCCACAGTCCAAGTCTTCACCTTCCCGGGTATTGCCCCCGCTGTTGAATCGGGGTCCAGAGGAGTAAAAGAGTGCAGGATCAGGAGCTGAACTATTTGGGTTTAAGTCTGGGTTCTTGGCTTTCTAGTTGTATGACACGGAAGTTGCCTTCCCCGCAAAATAGAAACTATACTTCTTGAAGGGAAGTAGGTGAAGTAAAGGTTCTGAGCAGCATTTATTGTAACAGTGAGGATCTAGATATTTAAAATACCCAACATTTGATAAACAGCCAAATAAATTATGCCACATTCTTACTGTATAGTCCCTAAACCTGATGTTTATAAAATGTTTTCATGGCACGAGAAAATGTTCCATAAATTAATAAAATTGGAATTAAAAAAAAAATAGTTCTCTGGCTCTGCACCCGTAGCTCAGTGGTTAGGGCGCCGGCCACATACACCAGGGCCCAGGCCTGCTAAACAATGACAAACAACAACAACAAAATAGCCAAGTGTTGTGGTGGGCACCTGTAGTCCCAGCTACTTGGGAGGCTGAGGCAAGAGAATCGCTTGAGCCCATGAGTTTGACGTTGCTGTGAGCTATGACGCCACAGCACTCTTCCGATGGTGACATAGTGAGACTCCATATCAAAAAAAAAACGTATGTAGTTCTCAAAGATTCATCTACTAATCCTGAGAGTAACTGAATGACACCCCCTCTGACTTGCCTCAAGCTCCTCCGCTGCCACGCGAACCAAGCAATGCCCCTCCAGGTGGCCGGCCTCAGCCAGGCCTGCGGAGATCCAGGTCACACTCCGGTGGGTCCGCAACACTCTGCGCACACACTCCCTCCATAAGCGGCACACGCTAGGGACGCAAATGCACAAAAGATTGCGAAAGGACGTTCATCTCTCCCGCAGCTTAGAAACCCCCACCCACTGCGTAGCAGCTGGCGATGCCTGCAGGACCCAAAATCCTTGGGAGAGGTGGGCGCTGGGGCGCTGGTTCGTAAGACAGCCCAATGCGGAGAAAACCTGGGGGAGACTTCGCATTCGGGGAAGCACAGGGCAGCACTGCGACACAGGCAGCTCGCAGGGGGAGGTCAGCTCCGCAGGACAAGGGAACCGGGCACACCCTGCATCTCTCAGAAGGCTCCCGCTGGCCTCTGCCCACCCCGCCAGCCCAGGACATGCCCGAGGTAAGCTTCCTGCCTCCTCGGTCCTCACCCGGCCACTCGCAGCAGCGCCTTAGCGGGCAGGAAGGTGAGCACACGCTCCACCACCTCGGCAAGGTTACTCAACACGAAGGTGCTTCGCGGATCCGCGGAGGAGGAGCCGCAGCGGTCTCCGCCACCGCCCACCGGCTCCATTCCTCACCCAGCGGCCAGAGCAAGCTCTACGGCGGCCCGGAGGGACCCGGACGGAACAGCGCAGGGCAGGCGGGCCAGAGCGCACTGAGCAGGCGCCCGCGCCACTTCCGGCCGGACGGGGGGCGGGGCTGCGCGGGGGCGGGGCCGCTTCCGCGCCGGACTGTGAGGCCAGGGGCAGGCGTGGGGCTGGCAGTAGTGACGGCATTTCTTGCAGGCCTCCTGAGTCAAAACACTCTTCTGCTCTGTATTTGCTTAGTTCACGGCTTTCTCTATCAGGAGTTCTTTGAAGGCAGGGACTAGGTAGCATTTTTCAGTCTGTAGTCCTAGTGCTGGCTAAATAACAGGAGCCCAAGTCTTGAATCTACAGCATGTTTAAGAAAAAATTCTCTTAGTATGTGAAAATCACTGCCTTTACTCAACACCTTGTGAACTTGGGTAACTAGCTGTGAACTCAGTGAATAACTACTGTGAGAGGACGCCCCGGACAGCGCACCGGTTGCACACCAGTGGCACCTGGGAATTTAAGTGTTGGAACACTGTCAGTTCTTACTCCAGGCCTACTGAATCAGACACAGGGTGGTGAGGCCCAGCATCTATGTATTAACAGACTGTCCAGTGATTCTGATGCATGTTCAAACTTAAAACCACAGAACCAATGGAAGCACACACAGGCAGCTGCCTCCCCACCTAACAGCCCTTCCTCCAGCTGCTTCCTTTGCTAAGAGTCCTGATTGGATTCCCAGGTCTTGAGGGTTAACTTGGTTAGTCTAAATTAGTGGTTCTCATTTTGGCCTCAGAACCCCTTTACGCTCTTCAGTACTGACAACACCAAAGAATGTACTTGTGTTGTCTATCCACATTCACCATATCCAAAATTAAAACATCAGTATTTAAAAATAAATCCATCACACATCAAAAATAACACTTTTATGGACAACTTTCCCAGTCCTCCTAATGGTGAATAGTATAACATCACTTTACACTTTTAAAATCTCTAACTTCTGACTTAATAGCAGACAGATGGATTCTAATCTACTTCTGAATTCAGTGTTAGAATATCACTTGTCGTGTAGCCTCTGGAAAACTCCACTGTACGCTGAGAGAATGAGTAAAAATGGGAAAGGTTTTATTAAAAATTTTTGACTTTAAAAACCTGGGGTTTCCAGGCTTCCCCAAATCATACTTTGAGAACCATTTGTCCAACTCAATCATGTTGTTTCATTCTTTTCACCAGCCACTGGTTTAGGGGTGGGCACAGGCCCCTGTTCTAGCCAAAGAAAGGTGAGAGGCAGTATGCTTGGTGGGATAGAGCTTCTAAGATTTCCTCACCTCCTAAGGAGACACTAGCAGAGAGAGTCATCATTTACCTCTGGACCAAAAAAGGTGGCTACCACCCAGACAGATACATCAAAACATAAAACCAACAGGTGGCACCTGTTGCTCAAAGGAGTAGGGCGTTGGCCCCATATACTGGAGGTGGTGGTTCAAACCCGGTCTCAGCAAAAAACTGCAAATAAGATAAAACCAACGTGGAAAAATCTCAGCACAGCAAAGCCCAGAAGTGCAGTGCCTGGAATGTCTGTATTTCCTGCTTATGAGATAGGAATCGTCCCTATGTCTGTATTTCCTGCTTATGAGATAACCTGACAACTGTGTGCAAGGAAGCCCTGGGTATGCTAAAGAGGGAGATTATTATAACCAGGGGAACTAGGGACAGACATAAAGAAAGCAGTCTTGAGTTTAAAGAATGAAGTGCGGAAGACGGGAAAGACTGAAGAACAACTGAGTATACCAAGTATACAGCTTTTCTCAGTTCTCTTTCTCTTATTGAATCAATCTGCCTTGCCTCCTTTCAAAACTTCCCTTCACTCCATCTCTCCTTAAATAGCCTCGTCCAAAAACTCAATAGAGCCTACAGAACACCTGGAGCAGGAGTGTCTCTTATGAGGGAAAAGTGACAAAATGATTTTCAAATGGTTCTTTATTCATAAACTTGATGCAAGTTTACAAAATTTACTATACATTGCCAAATAAATCTGCAATGAAAAATAAACCCCCTCAAAATAAAAAACAAAGCATGCCAAATGTGCAGCTCTCAATCTACTAGCCATCAGGATATTAAAGAATTCAAGAATGTATTCAAGATTCAGCCTTAGGTTTAAGGAACTTTAATGCTTTAAAGGATTCTGCCTTGTCACTTGTTCTCTGAGTAACTGGCAACCAGAACTTTATACAAATGTAACCCAAGTGAACAAGAATACCAGAAAGTCTTTCTACTTCCCTCTTAACCAAAATAGAATCAAAAGAAATTAAACACACACAATAAATGCAGAAGTGCCAAGTCTTTTGGATGTGGTTTACAAAGTTAAAAACTGAATCTTAAACCCAATGGATAAGAAACACTTTTGAACTTTGTAACGTGTGTGCAGAAAAGTGTGCTTCTGGATTTCCTTTTAAAAGTGCTTAATACCTTGAATTTATTTTAAATCAAATCTGGGTATATAAAAAAATCGATTACCAACCAAAAAGGACTGATTCAGGTAAGGCAGTAAAATGGAGAGTACCTTGATTTAAGTTTTATAAAAGAATTAATAACGTATGTAGAGTTCCTATTAGTCTTTCAATGTAAAAGCCATTGTTATGACTAGCAAAAAATTGAAGAGTCTCCAAATTAGGTATCTTTTTGTAGTTAACTGCAGCTTTTGCTCAAGGAGTCTGTCTTTGTGCCAATCACTTTAAAAATTTTTAGTTCACAAATGATTGCAACATCCCGTTAATAAAATGGAAACGTAAAATGACTTAGTATTTTAAATAACTTCAAGTTCTATATTGTGGCTCTTCTTCATAAGAAGTATTGAACCAACAATAAGCAGATTCAGCCCAGCAAGACTGATGCCCCAGTGAAAACACTACTTACAAACTTTAACTGGAATAGCCTTGCCCTGCTTTGCCTAAAAGTATAACATAACTCAATTAAGTGTGTATCTTAGGGAAATAGTTCATATTTTCACATAGCCATACAGAAAAATAATTTAATGAGTAGTTTTCCTGTAATTATTTTGGCAATATCATAAAATGGTTTTAGGCCTGAAAGAGCTACTCTGATTTAGAAGATCTTAAATTTTCTAAACCAACATCGAACATTCATTGAACTTTTATTGGCTCTAAACAGAACAGTATCTTGCAATTCTTCATAACCTATAGGCTCAACATAGGAAAGTTACCCTAAAGCTGCATCTTCAGTAACTTGATGCTGACTTGTCTGCTTAAAAAATTTCACTTTTCAAGAGAGAGAGATGATAAGGAGTGGCCAGTATGTGTATTTATCAGGAAAAATACAGGAAAGGCCCCATTGCTCAGTCCAAGATACCTAAAATGAGCAAAATGAAAAGGCTGTAACTTATACTGTATGTCAGTTGACAGATTATCCACTAAAATATCTATTAGCTAACATCTTCGGTATGGCTGTTATAGGAGCACTCAAAGCTGTGTCTGCATGTTCGAAAGATTTTCTTTAAAGCAACATTGGTCCAAACATACGACAATCAACATATTTAGCCATCTTCCTTTGGAGGTGTGTACCAGCCTGAAATAGAATGAAAAAAAAAAAAATTAAAATACTTTAATTCCAAAAGCAACTAGAAGAACTGGCATTTATTAAAGCTAACTACAGTGCCTATTCAGAATTTTAGTGTGTAAATCTACTGTAAAAATTACACTTATACTTGGGTCAGTAACACTGCATTTTGATATGTTCACAACAAAAAGTTATTTTCTACGAATAAATTTTGCTTGCATTTTCAACAAAAGAGCTTTATATTAATGGAATTCTTAGCTAAAGATGACAATATTAATACATAAAAGATTTTATTGCATTTGAATGCTGAACTTAAAAGTAAGCTTCATTAAAAATAACTATTCCCTAAACAAAATCCTGACATTTTAGAATGAACTTGACTTGTCATCAGCACAATGATGCCATTTCACCAATCAGGAAGCCATCACAGCCGGTGCAGTGACTAAATGACCATGCCTAGGATCAGAGTCAGTGGCAGAAGCCAAACTAGAATTCATCTCGATCTATACAGTTCATTGTGACATAGTTAACAATATAGTGTATTCTTGAAAGATGCTAAGAGAATGGGTGTGAAGTGTCTCACCACAAAAATAACTATGAAGTGGTACTTATGTTAATTAGCTAGATTTAACAATTCTACCAGTATATATACTTCAAAACATACATGTTATACACAATAAATACAATTTTATCTGTCATTCTTTTTAAATAACAGATTTAAAATTTAAAAGACCTAGAATCTATCTCTCCTGCTTCTCAATCCATTGCTCTTTCACCAAGGCTAAGCTTACACACTCCCAAATACAGAAACATTTTTGAATATAGGCTGTTTAAGAAAAAAGTTAAAGAAAAAAATGTGACTGTTTCCCAAACTCCACAAAAATCTAAGCTCTCCAGAGAAAAGCAAACTAAACTAAGTACTGTTTGATACAAAACTGACTGATATTTATAGAGCACCCACATGGTCATGAAGTAGTATATAAGTTTCTTTGGGTCTACTTATTATGCCAGAAATGGTAATAAAATTTGAGGATAGGCCATGTTTTCATCATTTCCCTCCTTGGCTTGAAGATTTTGTTTTGAATACCATTTCCAGAAGTATGCAATCACTGAACAATCAATGAGTTTGGCTTTGTCATTACAAGTGAGCACAAAACACAAATCTTAAGTAACAAACTGCCACATTACTAGCAAAGTAAAGAACATTTTCCAGGCTCTGGTGCACACCTGAAGTCCTGCTACCCCAGAGGCTGAGGTGAGAGGATCACTTGAGTCAAGAAATTAGAGGCTGCACTGACCGAGCTAGATCACACCTGTGAATAGCCAGCCTGGGCAACATAATAAGACCCTGTCTCTCAAAAAGTTTATTTTAAAAACATCTTACTGGGGTGGCACCTATGGCTCAAAGGAGTAAGGCACCGGTCCCATATGCTGGAGGTGGCGGGTTCAAACCCAGCCCCAGCCAAAAAAAAAAGAAAGAAAATTTTTTTAAAAAAGCATCTTACTATAAACACCCTCTTAAAGAAAA